GTCAACATTAATCATTGTAATTATTTTAAATTAAACTGTTACAATTAGATAAAATGTAAATATGTAATTTTATTTACCCTGTATGGTTTGACGCCAATAATCCATTGGCCATTTTCATCGGGTATATTACTGGCCAAAACGCGGGTGCAGTTCACGTGCGTTATGTTAAAGGGCTCCACAAATCTGTGCGCAAAACTACCCACAGGTCTACTCGCGATGAACTCATACGGATGTCCAATCATTGTCTCCAATTCATTGTGCGAGAACATTTTATTATTTTATTTTACTATTAGTTATTACAAATATGTGTGTAATTTCTGTAAAATAATATAATATGTTTAGTGTCATATATTAATTGTGTTTTTAAATATTACCCAAGTGAATCTACAAAATAATTTTTGCTAAAAATTTGCTATTTTATACTGAAATTGTTGTGACAAAAGCGAATGATGTGTTGCAAAACTATTGTATTATTTATAGAATACTATTATAGCTAATACTGATATCAATTATAATGATGGTGGTATTGTTATTAAATTTTAATTTAATCAACTATTTATTAAAATATGCTAAACCTTTCGATAAGAAACCTCTCACAAGGAAATAATAGCATATTATTTGACACATTTCTTATACATAATCCCTTTAATAAGATTGTATTCATAAAAATTAGACTTTCATTAATAATGAACTGCAGTTATCTAAAAGTTTGAATACATGAATATTGTTTATTAAAATAATTTATTTTTATTCTTAATATAAAATACGAAGGTAATTTAGCACAGAATTCAATTTGGGTAATTTGTTATATAGAAGTTTGACAGTACACATTAGTATTTTATAATGAATATTGTACTGTGCTAGCTATGTACAAAATATTAATCATATCTGTTTTTAAATAAAAATGACCTTAATTTAATATTTATTAAATAATGATTAAATATTTAATTTACTTTATAGATTTTAATTAACTTTAAAAAAATTAAATTTATTGATTATTTCAACATACATTTTCATTTATAACATGTATATTCTAAAGATTAACGTTGAATGAAATTGATTCGTTGTTTTTTAAATATTATAAATTGTAAACATTTATTAATTAGCGTTGATATTGTTGACAAATTGGTACATGCACCGTTTACTTTATATAAAATTAATGTAAAATGAACAGACATGATATAAAAATAATACAAATAAAATTTTAATGTTGTCTATTTATTAAAAAAAGTAAATTTAAAACAAATTATTACCTTATATTATTTTTACAAAAACTTATTTAATATATACAGTATTATGTTTAAATCGTGTGTTTTTGTGAAATAATAATTTTTTAGTTAATTGTGATTTTATTTAAGTTATAATTAAACATAATTGGCTTGGCAACTATTAGCAAGTTTTGAAGTTTACTAAATAAAATAAATTATCCAGGCACTTTGTAATGCTAACATTTTATAAATAAAAATATTTATTATAATTATAAATTTTTAATATCTATATAAAGTACATGTACATGTACATTAGTGAGAGTAACCAATTTTTATTGTGATACCTGCATAAACTGTAAATTTAATTTAATAAATATTTTTGTTTAAATAAGCGAGATGATTTTTTCAACATTTAATATATTGTTACGAATGTCGTAAATTGTCAATCAACATTTACATAGTACCATTCTTCGGCACATTGAGATAGGTAATTAGGAAATTTATTACGCAATGCCTCATCATTCCACGTTAATGCTTTACCTACTCTTTCAAATGTCCGTAAGAATTTTATTGGATCCTCACCCTTTTTACCTGAATATATAGGGATATGATGCTGTCGTGTACTAGCTAAATTTGACGCAATCATATTACTCATTTGATTAAAATTAACCTCGGGCACCTGTGCCCCACCACCAGCACCTAAACTTTCTTGACTCATTTTCCACTCAAATTCACTCATTTAAAATACAGAATATTCATTGCTTTTATTACCATGCACAAACAGTTTTAATATTGACTCCCAGAATAATAAAAGCATATACTCACCTTAGTAGTACCAATCTTGCTCTTCACCCGTACCTCTTCAACTCACCTTAACCACCAATTCTTCACAGAAACCTGTCCAAATCCCACGGATCTGACACCAAATGTTATAGCTGGGTTGTTTTTATTTGGACGGCCATACGGCCTTGGTTATTTATGAAGAATCACACAATATCGATTTGATTTAAAAGTTATTTTATTTAAAATTCTTAAGATAAAAGTTGTTACATAAAATAGTCAACTATACTGTTTGTGCGCTAATCTGAGAGTGACTTTCAACTGCTCTACAGTTCACAATCACTATTACAAAAATTTTCAACCATGCCCACTTTTGGGCCACATTGCATAAACAGTGTTTACTATTGGGTAATACTGTACTCAAAGCATATGGCTTTCAGAGAACATGTTTTTACTACAGTTTAAATACTGTAAATACATTACAATTTCAAATATATTCTAAATTGACACTATATTTCAAATATGCATGCTTATTCTTAAATTAATTATCAAATAATATAAAATTATAAATGTAAAAATTCAAATTATAACATTCATATAAAAAATGATAGTCCCTAGGTCTATCAAACACAATTTGTTTATAAAAATTTAAAATTTATTTTATTATTAAATTATTGACCTAACTTATTTCTGCAAATTGTAAGTCCTGTAAGATAATACTAATTCTGTAGATTAATCATTATATATAATTTGTTAATTCATTATAATATTTAGTTTTTTATAATCATATTTTTCTCTGTAATTTTATTATTATGTTAACTTTTTCCATTAGATTTCATTGAATAGTTAACCAAAATGTGAATATTTTGGATAAATTTAAATATTTTGGTTTAAATTCTACGGATTTTGGAAAAAGCAAATACTGAGTAGGTGTATATAAAGTACAGCTTTTACTTGTTTGAATACATCCAAAATTATCAAAATCGGCCCACGAATTCTTGATCTATACATATTTAAGATAATATACTCTTGTAATGCTTTTCAATGCAAATATGCAATCATGAGATATATATGACACAGTTGGTATATACAGGTATGACTATAATAAACTGTTCGGGCTTGGTCTATACGCGGTAAAATTATTTGTTTTTTAGTCAATTTTGAATAAAATTATAACTTATAACCGATTAATGGAAATAATTTCGCATTTCGTATAATAGATTCGCATTTTTCAGTATAAATTTTTTTGTGCAAAAACACTTTTAATGCTATCACAACTGTAATGCATTGTAAAGTATTATGATTTGAATGAGATTCATATGTTGTTCGGTAATAAATTGAGACTGTTGTCTAAAATACATGCAATATATTAATTTATTTATTAATTTTTCATCATTGAAACATAAATTATTAGTATTTTTATAAAGCAATAAAATCGTTGCTACAAATTACGTATATTTGTTACAATCATTTATTAAAAATATTTTAGAAAAAATAGATTGTTTTAAATGATAAAATTGTCTTAACTCAACTTTAGTTATCAATAATTATCAAATGGAAATAACCGTTGGATTGGTATCCAATCCGAGTCCATGGGATAACATTAACATCATTTCCAAATTAACTTTCAGGTTATTTATTAAATTAACATTTACACATTTTTTTTAAATTTTATTTTTTCAAATAAATATGTATTCTGTGTATTAATTAGTTGGTTATGGAGTCTATTCATTCGGGCGCACAAAAAAGACCTCGAGTTCAGTGACCTCTACCGGTGCCCAAAATCAGATGAGACACATCGAGTCCGACAGAAGCTCGAAATGTAATATAAAAATTATAAATATAATGTATTTTTCAAATAGTGAAACAAGGATTGCACTGAAATATCTATTAGTTAATCACATTTCAAGAAATCACATAAAAGTTCAAATAAAATCTTAGAATACGTTCAATACTGTTATTATCAAAATCCATAACAATAATATTTAAAAGTACGGTTCTGTTAAGTCTCTCCAAACACTAGATTTTCACACGTTGAAAATTAACCCTTCAACACAACACTCATATTTTTATATATTATAATTTATACTTGATGGGAACAAATATCTCACAGACCGCAGGCCACTTGTTGCCAAATAAATATATCAAAATATTGATAACCCGCTTTAAGAGAATTCCAAAAATATATAATATTACCCCGTAACGTTTGCAGCGCCCTTTTGACAGTCATTTCAAGTAAACAGAATTTTAACTAATATTGCAAATTTCTGACCAAGTTCTCAGACAAACTAGGTCATGTATCATATCAAATTGTATCAAATATGTATCATAACCAACGCGCGAGGGGTTCATCAATTAACTGTTGTTAAAATTAATGTTTTGTATGAACTTCTATAGCAAATGGGATAAACAACTAAAAAATAAAGGAAAGCCATCGCTATTTTGGGCACTATTCGCATCGTTTGGACCCGAACTTATTGTCTTTTATATTCCCGATGCTATCAAAGTATAATATAAATGAATGATAATTAATAACTCAAAATAAAAACAATAAACAAACTAATTATTTTTAATTAATTTTATTTATATCTTAAATTTTTACAGGAATTGGGCGTAAAATTGTTTCAGCCGTATTGTATTGTTTATTTGATCAGATATTTCAATAATGACCCCAACACTAGCCAGTGGTTGGCGCAGTGGGCGGCCGGTGGTATTGTGTTGGCCGCCATTGCAAACATGTTTATCTTATATTTAAACATGACCATGTACAGTAAAGTGGGATTTAGAATCCGTGCCGCGTGTTGTGCCCTAATATACCGTAAGGTCTGTATTATAAAAGTGTATACTTTTGTATATTTTATTTAATCGATTTTTATGTAATTCTATATAAAGTCAATGCGTTTAAGTTATTTATCACTCGGAAAGACAACTGTTGGTCAGATATTAAACATTATGTCCAACGATGTCAACAGATTTGATGAGGTATTAAATTGTGAGGAATACCCCAATTGTGGTTAACGTATAGCATCGCTGTGTGTGAGTAATACCCCAATTGTGGTTAACGTATAGCATCGCTGTGTGTGAGTAATACATTTATTGTTTTTATTTTGAGTTATTAATTATCATTCATTTATATTATACTTTGATAGCATCGCTGTGTGTGAGTAATACCCCAATTGTGGTTAACGTATAGCATCGCTGTGTGTGAGGAATACCCCAATTGTGGTTAAAGTATAGCATCGCTGTGTGATGCTTGTTATATAGTACTGCCATTGAATTTTAATTAATAAGCAAAGTTGATTTATTTAAAGGGCCGATAAGTATATCGTGTCCAAAGTAACTTCGTTATTACTTAAATACTATAATAGATAATCTGAAATGTAGTTTGGTATTTACAGCGTGAGACAGATTGGCTTATTTCAATGCTTTTCTATTAGCTAATATAAAATCTATAGTAATACTAAATTAATCGGGAATTGGGAGTCTATTAAAATGTGTTGGTAAGCTATTAGGAAATACTATCGTTTATTGAACGATTATATGTTTTTTACAAAATCTAATTATTTATAATAGTAACAGTTATTTCTTGAAATGACTGTAATAACAATTTCAATTGTGACAAAATATACTGACCGGCTCTATACAATTCAAACAAAATGACGTGACCTCATTACACAAGTTCTACCAAGTTAACTCTTAAGTGTTTAACCTCAATGTTATTATTTATAAATAATAGTTTGCATTGTATTCGCGAGCATTAATTATGGCGCCACTGCAGGCGGCGATTGTGTTATACCTATTGTGGTCACACTTGCGGTGGACGTGTTTGGCGGGAATGGGAATACTTGTGCTGTTTATACCATTTCAAGTACTAATGGGTCGTATGTTTGGGAGTATACGTCAAAAGACGGCTGAATTAACGGACAGTCGAATCCGTTTAATGCATGAGATTATCGCCGGAATGCGTGTCATAAAGATGTACGCCTGGGAACAGCCCTTCGCACTATTGGTCGCAACCGCTCGCAAGTAATGATACAAATGATAGTATATTAATAAAATCATATTATTACGCCAACCATACAATGAGTAATATAACTTTATGCTTATAAAAGTTGTCAACGACTTGCAAAAAAATATCTATTCAATTAATCTTAAACTCATCAAATAGTTGCTATCAGGGCTTTCGTTGTTTCTAATTAAGGAAACCAGTCATGTTTTTTATGTATATTGCAGTATGAGTCAATTGTGTATTTTCACTACATATACAACACTCATAAGCAAATAGACATATTAATAAACATCCAATTACACTATAATTAAGGTTCATCACGACAGGGAAGATATATATTTTCCCATATTTTCCCTCCCAAAAAATGGGAATTTCCTGGAAGATATAAGACTTGGGAGGGAAATGATTTTAGAGATTTTGACCAAATGCACTAAAACATTATACACTTTTTTTGGGCACTGGTGTAGGTGTGAGGGAAGATAAGGGAAGATAAGAAGGGAAGGATGGAAGTTCCGGGAAGATATAAGACTTGGGAGGGAAACGATGAACCTTAACTATAATATATATAAAGTTGCAGGAAAGTTGCAGGAACGCGGTTTGCCTATTTCTAATATACATGTGTTCAAATATGACGTATATACAGTACAATAAAAATGACATCAATTTACAAATAAAACTATATTAAATTCATTTAATAGTGATTTTTAATAATTGTGGATAATGCCACCATCATATTATTGTGATTTTCAAAACTTATATTAATATTACCTAGATAGCATTTCCCTCTTAATTAGATTTTATATAAATTAAATATTATATGTAAAGTTATAACATATTTAACCACAAGTCAGCAATAAATAATGTGGTTTATATTATCTTTCGGATGGACAATGTTATGTCTATGGACAATGTTATTACTATCATACAATGTTAATTCTATGGCAAATCTATAGGACTTACATTAAATTTATATATAATGCTAATTTATTTTTTGAGCAATACCCGAATAGTGGTTAACCAATAGCATCGCATGAACCTTGTTTATGGTATATACGATATACAGCACGTCAACGCCTGTAGATTTTGTAGTAACAATGTAGAGGTAGAAAGATAGCTGTTGTTTGTTGTGGGGAGGAATCTGCGGGCAATACTGTATTTTACGAATGTTGATATGACACAAATAATATAGTACTATATAATATTAGATCCGAAGTGAAACAAATCCGATGGTCAAACTTTCTAAAAGGGGTGAACTTTTCAATATATTTTGTGTTAATACGGGTTATAATATACGCCTGTTTTCTAACATATATACTGATGGGTGGGATGTTGTCGGCGGAGACAGCCTTCGCTACTATTGCTTACTTTAATGTAATGCGTTGCCAAATAGGGAGAGAAATACCTATTGCTATAACAACCGTTAGTGAATTAATTATAGTCATTAATCGTATCCAGGTAATTATAAAAATTCGCACAATTTTAACATAATTGTAATCTAATTTGTAATTAAATTAAACAGAATTTTCTATTACTCGAAGAGATAAGCTGTTTAAATATCAGGGAAGGGATGGACGAGACGTACATTTCGAGGAAAAATTTAATAAAAACAAAAAACATTTTCAATGATAAACAAAAAGGCGTTTTTATGGACAAAATGAGAGTTCGTTGGAATAATGTATGAATTCTTTGATGTCTTTCAACACGTGTTTAGAGTTTTATAAATACATTAGAAGACGACTGAACCCACGCTTCGGGACATTAGTCTGAGTGTAAAACCCGGGCAACTGTTGGCTGTTGTCGGGTCTGTAGGCAGTGGAAAGGTATAAAGTATATGCTTTTATTTTGTAGTTGTAATAATAGACAATTAATTATTACACATATATAGAGCTCTTTATTAATGGCAATATTGAATGAGATATCGCTAGTGTCGGGTCGAGTGGTAGTGAGGGGTCGGGTGTCGTACGCGCCGCAGGA